ATGGCATCTTTTTGAGACTTCACTGACACAACAGGAACATTTAGCACTAAAAGTTTAGGAATTGATTACGGAAACCGGTTAGTGTCACATGAAGTATTTTTTATGCCGTAATTACGACTTAATTATCTCGTAATTAAGACATAGTTATCTTGTTATAACGATATACCAATCACGTTATTACGACGAGATAACTGAAGGTGGCAACTCTGCAATCTTATTTCATGCACAGTTTCATATGTTTTTATTGGGTCATTGTTTACACTTTTGGCCTACCCTTAAGGGTAGCTGTTCGGTAACTTACTTTCTGAAACCATCTAATTTCATTTTCATTATTCTATGAAAACCGCAACATCCTCTGAGTTTTTACTAAGTCGTAATTACGATATATACTTTTTAACTTCATGTGGCACTAACCGGCTTCCGTAATTGATAAATGTGACTGTAGTGTCAATTAAAATCGATATAGGTGTTTTCCATATTTTGGATTTAGCAATAGATATTTATATAGTCGTATTAAATTAGTACCTAAAATAACAGGTTAAATTGTGATACGCATTCACAGCAAATATTCTACACCTGATAAAATAGTAAAATAGATGATCTACTTACAATTGCATTACAGCGTGATTAAACAATACTTATAACTTGATTGGCGGTGTTGATAAGATGACCAGCTTTATATACCGGCACTACAAGCTCCTATGTTTTATTCATATTTTAGGTCAACACTGCCTAGCGCTATTTTACCTCTTTAAATATGAAAAATAGAACAGTTGATTCTTTTCTCGTGAACTTCTTTGCTTTCTATCAAAATGCTTATTCAGTTAAAAATCCTCAATTATCATATCAGGGTATTTTTTTAATTTCACTTCTATACAAATAAGAGTAATTTAAAAGAAGCAGTATTGAACTGCCTTAAAAACAGAGTATAGATACAACACATGTCACTATAAGGTACATATATTTATAGATTATCCCACTGTGTTAAGGATTTGTCGTGAGAACAATTTTCTCATCGCGAGCACGTGGATTAAATCGAAAGGCCACCGTAGTTAGATTCGAGATTTTATCCAGTTGCGAACGATGAGAAAATTGATCGAACTACAAACATTGAAAAGTCTGTGTGATAAACGTGTTGTCATCTATATGCTACCACTTTATATCTCTCTGTTATAAAAAAATTCAACTGAACACCATATTTTCAAAATTACTTCCAGGCTAAATGATCATCGATCGCAAATCGATCGCAGGAATACCATGAATTTTTTAAAACTTTAAAAACATTTTTTTTTAAACAACCGTTGCAACAAGTGGTATGACTGCTGGTACATATGGAATAACAGTTATTTCTTATGATCAAATGGACGTTCAGTTATACTGTACAAAAAAAAGTAAATATGTATGTTTGTATTAGATACTTACAAAAGCAGGCACCGGTGGTTGAGTTACAGTTCCCACCATAACAGCTGTCTGAGCATTGGTTGTTACAGTCACCGTTACCGTACCTCCCTACTTGACATCCTGTGGGAAGATACAAGCAATAATTATAAATAAGGGACTTTATTTATAATTGTAGCACACAAATAAAATGCACTGAGAACCGAAAAGCGTTAAGGCTACCAGGGGGAGTCGAAAGATGAACAATTAATTAGATCATTCCCCCTTCCCTTCATTCGGAAAATGTTGAGATCGAGTTTTCCGTCTGATTGATCTTTTATGGTACATGTAGGTTACCGATACAGTCAGATACATACATGTATATCCACTGAAATGGACTAGAGGACACCTGCATAATTCTGCCTATATTTCAATTCCTCCTCGTGCTACTCTTACATCAGAAAACTTCTTCATAATTATTGTACCTGGTTAGGCAATTATTATAAGAATAATATTTTGTTTAATGTATCAGATAAGAATATTTGAAAGGCGACTGCTTGCAAATTTTTGCTAAATTTTCACTTATCAAATTGTAAAAATCAGTTACTGGGTCGCAAACAGTTGGCGTAAATTAAACAGCGAGTTTCGGAAGTATTTGCAAAAGTGCTATTAGAATTTTACTGAATTTCGCATAATGATTCCTAAATGCATTTTCTACTTCACTCCACCGAAAGATACACGAAGGTAGGTTAACTCCAACGCTTAGGTCTAGGCCTACTACTGTATGCTTGCCGCGTTTGTCATATTCGTGGAAATTCATGAATTGGAGTGCAAGTAAATATAGCTCTATCAATACTTCTAGCGTCCATATTAATTTCAAATAATCCCTTAATAATTGTCCCTATTTTGATCGCTGTGTACTGACTAATATGACATCGAAATACCTTGTCAGTGTAATTAGCCTTGTCAGATAAGTATCCTCGATTCTTCGGACGAGAGAAGTAATGGGAGACAACTCGAACGACAAAGACTTGTAAATGCTAATAAAAACCGCTGTTTTAAGTATCTCATGCAGAGACATATATACAGTCAGTATAAACGTTTCTGTTACCAATCACAGAACTTGTAACAAAGCCAAATTATCAAATTTCGAATGACATTTAAAACTATAAATATTGTTATACGACGGACCTAGATGGTCTAATTTAATTCCGGGTTATACAGTACAGCCATCACGTAAATCAAACATTATGTTATATTATGTCCGGTCCAGGAAATTTTGAAAAAAAAATATTCACGTGAATGATTAAGAATATCAAAATGACGACCCGTGATAATAACAGCTGAGTTAGACGGACCCAGATCAGATCACATACGTATGTATGTATACGAAATGTTATAACATTTTCGCTTTGTCAGGCAAAGACGTAGATTTAGAATGCATAGCCACGTAACAATATTTTGTCTACAGATGATTAATTTACGAGTTCATAAAGAATCAAAAGACCGTTATTTGTTCACATTGAAAAAACTGCGCATGCGATCAAGGATGTATTTTGTTTTGGGCAATAGGTCTAAACTCAGATTATGGAAAAAAAATACTTGTATTCATACAAAGTCCAGAGATTAAGAACGAGGCAATATTTATTAGCGGGATTGGGCAGGTTCAAAATGTCAAACTTAAACAAAAATTAGCATATCCTTTGACCATGGAATTAGAAAATCTGTCATATGTCTGCGGTTGTGTAACAAAAGTCGTGTTCTGACACAATCTACCTGTACGTGTACTATACTTTCAAGAAACGTGTATTGTGTGTGATGACTTACTTAGTATTAAAAGCGTCTGAAAAGGGGGAAAGGGGAAAAGGGAAAGCAAGTATACATTTACATATACATGTACTGCATGGTCTTGAAAAAAGTGGCCAAACGAAAAATCAGAAGTCAGAGTTTTACTAATGAAATTATCACACATTTTTTTTCAATGCCATGACTATTTCTTTTGAAAGAAAAGTTTGTCTCGTGGTCGTGTAAGTTGTAGATTTCAGATTTTATTACCAACACTCAGACACATGAAAATGTGTAACATGAGGTACATGTACATGAATTCATATATTTAAATTATGACAGGATGGACAGGTGCATGCATGTATATGAAGATACTGATATATATATATATATGCATGATAACATGTTGTACAAATGAACTATTTCGTAATTAGTCACAGCAATGCATACATACATGTAGATAGCCACGCATATATCCAGACCCTTGCATATACATATATATGCACATCCATACACAT